TCAGTACATTTGTCATCCCTGCTCCCTTCATCTCTGCCAGACTTTGTCTTTTGTATAAATACTTTAAACATTGATACATCTCTCCAATTATCTTAGACACTGTCTAAGATAATTAGATAATCTGTCTTTTCTTTATTGCACTTCTGTCCGTCCTGGGACTTCGAGGGATCCCTCACTTGTGATTCTATCAATCAATCCATCCATCCATCCCTTGTCTATACTGCTTATCTTCTGCTGAAGTACCTACTTACTAATTCCACAGCCCATTCCATCCAAAAAATGGTTGATTTACATGTGTGATCACTGATCAGTGCAGATTAGCACTATACTAACATACTGAATAAGGAGTCTAATATGGTAAACATCAGCATAACCATCATCCATTACTATTATAATACATGCTAAACAATAACATGTTAGTATTGCTCATCAAAGCAGCATGGCTGTAAACTCCACAGTAAAGCTGCTGCTACTCCTGTGTCGAGACAGTGCAGTTGTCAGAAGTCTGATTAGACACATTAGAATGATTCCAGTGTGTTGCAGGAATATTTTCCTCAGCAATTGCCCCAATTTGTCTTAAGCTGCTTAGCTTGAGAGTATTTAACGAATGCAGCTTTCATTGAGGTTTCATAACTTTCTGTGTTGTCTATAAATGCCTTTCAGAAGCTTTTGACAAGACACAGCATTCAGGGGAACACTGTATTAGGATGCATGTAGTGTCACATCAACAGAAGCAACGAGCTGCTGCAGTAAGGTAAAAGTAAAACTGCAATATTTTGTAATAGGTTTTTAAGAAAAAGATAAAGCTTCAGATAAAGCTCATGACCAACATTTTACCAATGAGTTAAAAAAGGGTTTTAGTTATGTGTCTGAGAGGCTTTTTAAATTCTGATAGACATGCCTCCCTATAATTTCATCCATCTGGGACAAAGTTAAAGCAGGGGGCCTTGATTATTTAAACTGTCCATCACAACTATGTGCCAAAACAACCACAATATATATATATTTATTTATTTATTTTATAGTTTTGTGAGTTTTCGAGCTTGTTTAGAGATTTAAAATGTGTCAAATCAACTGGATTTAATTCCTTTTGCCCTTGAGGTGATCGATCCCATTATCCTTCAACTCCTGTGTGATGTAATGAAAAAGTTATCAGACATTTTCTCACTACACCCAGCCATATTCTCCTCACATGACATTCTAAAAACATTTTATGTCTCATGGTTTCATGGTGTACATGTGAATAAAATGGCAGCTCTTACAAGCAGCTCTTGTCATCTTTGTGGATCAAGAAGCACATATGAAAAGGCCCATGTAACAATGTCTTCTCTCCATCTTTTCACCTGGCCTTTAGATTAGAGAAAGTGTGTATTCCTTGAAAGAACGGATGTCTCTAAGGTAACCCAGTAAAAAAGGTCAGATAGAACCCGCCTGTCTGCTCGACTTTCATTATTCTGGGAGGATAAAAGGAGGGTGCATCTGCTTTCCATATCCTTTTTGTCGGAGGCTGAACCCATTGTCCAAGCTCTTCTTTCATTTCCTCTTTTATAAAGACTTGAACACACATCATCAGCACTGATCAGTCTTGCTGATGAGCAGACAACAAGTGAGAGTGACAGCGATTTCCCCTCTTTGAAGAGAGGCAACAGAGGCTCTCTTGATTGCGGGAAATGAAAGGGAGCAGATCTCATGTCTCTTGATGGATGTTTGATGGGGTTGGTCAAGGGAGGAATGGCTAAAGAACTCCTCTTTGACATTACCCTCCCATCAGATGACAAACAACCTCTTTCTCTGCCTCTTTATTTCACACCATCAGAAAGCTTTTAAATAAAGGTCAGTTAATGGTTTCTGGATGACACATGCAGACTGCAGACATGGACACAGACACACTTAATAATAATCACGAGGCAAGAGGAAGGGCTCCTTTCTTTGTTGGAAGAGAATAATGTGTGTGACAGCTTAGCAAGAGTAGGATCAAGGATGGGAAATAAAAACATGCTTCACGAGGACCTTTCCTGACATGAAGTTAAGGACAACCTGGACTGGCCTTTAATGTGCACCACCTCTTGTCATCTGTCTCCTATCATCTGAATTCACCCTCATATATTGTCTGCCCACATGCTACGCTGTAGCTCCCTGCAAGCCCCTGTTCCTCTACGGTACAACAGGCATGTCAAACCACATCTGCAGACTGGATAAACTGACTGTGGCATTCTTCTCTGCAGGCAGGAGCTCATCTCATCGGCCTGTCAGAGATAGGAATCTATCACAGGGAGAAAGCCAGGTCTCTCTGTTCAAGAGCAAATTATCCTGCTCCCAACTCAGATGCAACAATTAAACATGAGTCTGATCATCATGTTGCCAGTGTTCATCTATTCAGGCTCTGTTTCTGTTGCAGCAAACATGGTTTAGGACGCCATGGAACACAAACTCAACAGACACATAAATCTCCATCAGAAGACATAAAGTTTTCTGGTAACATGGAAACATCACTATAAGTCTGACAGGTCAGAAAACATGAACAGTCAGATGATGTTTTCAAAAACAGACAGTGAAACACTGTGACGTGCATGTCGGTGATTTGTATATTAGCTCAAATCAATGTCCTTTGAGCTCTTCAACCATCTTCAGGGATAATGAGTTTGGCATTTATGGGCAGGAAAGTGCAGTGTTGGATTTTGTGAGATGTGGACACGCAATATGTTAAATATTAATTAAGATTTGAATAAACAGGAGACCAGCGCTCTGTTGCTCTGGTTGGGATTTAATCAATGTGACATTGTTGATCACAATAACAGTGCATTCACAACAACAGTTGTGTTTATGACAATGGCACTGACAACTGATCTCCAGTTCAGGGTTGTGCAGACAGAGTCAAGCTTCACTGAACTTTGAGTAAACAGATGAACAGCTCTTTGTGCCAGCAGGTCTTTACTGCAGGCTCTGTGGATTTAGTCCACTGCACTAGTTAAATTAAATTCTTTTAAATCAAAAGTCTCCAAGAAGAGTTTTGTGAGTACAGAGAGCGAGCAACCATCTCAATCAAATAAGGACTCATGCACTGTTTGCCCCAAAACACAGGAGCCTCACACACTTTTTTTTTTTTACAATTTTTTGCATACGTGCCCATTTAACTGTCATTGGAATGAATGGGGCGCCATATTGGAACACAGAATGAGATCCTCTGAATAAAAATATACATAAATTCTCCATTAGTATCTCACTTTGTCCTTGTCGGTTTGGTGTTGAGCAGTCTGCAGTGGCTTTCTCAGAGCGTTTCAATGTAACAACTGCCTGCAGCTGGGTAGATTTTAGCACTGAGACTGAACGTAAGAGTAAAGTTGAAATGAAAAACAATGAGCTAAAAGCGCCGGGGGAACAGTAGACTGCAACAAGATCAATCACTTTAAACCCATTTCCTTCAGTGATGAAACTGGAACTAAAATGGAGTTGTGATACAATGACTGCCATGTGGAGCACCAAATGCTAGTCGGGCTGTCCATTAAGAGGGTATTAAACAAACTAAATATTTCTATAAAAGAACAAACAACTGTTGCACATTGTGGTTGCTTCACATTCTTTTGTTGCCACTTGTTTTCATCTCTCTGACTCATTGATAACAGCCCCTGAAAACCAGATATGAACTGAGGGATGATAGGGATTATTATAAAAAGGACTACTTTCCTATTTTACACACTCTTCATGTAAAAGAGATCGGTAAGGATTTGTGTATGATCAGTTGAGATTAAATGTAACAAAATGAACAGCACCATTTGGTACTACCTCAAAACTAATTTGTTGTTTCATACAGATATTTTAAAAATGTCTTGATTATCAGTGCAGGAATGAATGGATTGAAGAAACTGACCCAGTCAGGCTTTAGATTGTTGTTCAGGACGATCCAACACATGCTGAACCTGACACCCTCTGACACGAGGAACCCTGTAACTGCTCCAGTGCCAATGGATGTATTGCTCTATCCAGAGATGGCTAAAAATAAAAGAGCACTAGCAGCTAACACCGAAGCTTATCTGCTGAAGGAGATAAATGGTTGCTGTTTGTTTCTCACGGTGTGATTTTGGAAAAGGTGGTGTGTGATTGGATGCACAGCCATTTGCACCAACATTAGTGCTGACTGGCACTGCGTCATCCGGTGACAGACAAATTCAAACATATCACACACACACAGGCTGTCCAGGCTCTAAAAATAGACGGTGGTGATATGTTCACCATGCAGAGAAATCCATTTATATGAGGCTTATGCATGCAATCAAACATGTATGCAGATATATACTACCCTGTGACACACAAACTCAAGAATTCTCTCACAAAAATAGCTCCAAAACTGACAGTTGATGGTCCCCGGTCCTGTTGCTTTCCTTCATCATTAACCCCTCTTCTCAAAAAAACTGGGCCAGACCATGGTGAGGATGTTTCTGCTCCCTCTGTCTGACATGATGTGAAGTAAACCCAGGGGTTCTCTGTCCTTCTCTGCTGCCCTACATAGATACGGTACCACCCACACTCGCTTCCTACCATCCAGATAACAGTCACAGTCACCTTGACCAGATACACAGGGGGAGTAGTGCTGCTATTCTGGTCCACAAAGATCAACCCCTATCATAACCTCCTGTAGCTCTGATTTATGAGGACGTTTGAGGAAATTAGTTCACTTACTCTCCGACTACCTCTTATTTAGATGCATCGTATCGCCTGATAAACTCGCTAATGTTGCCACTTCTAACTACTAATTTTATGAATGAATAAAATAATAATTGTATAAAATGTTATCAAATGTATTAATTTGCATTTATACATTTCCCAGTAAGTAAGTCAACGTTCACCATGTCATATTTAGAATCAAGGGGATGCCAGAGCCAAGAGAGCCAGCCCAGTGCCTTCTTTTTTAGATGGCCTGCATGTGTCAAGTCACACTGAGACAGATGTATCAAAGAAAGAGCTCTTCTGATTGTCAAAATAAAAGCTTTTCATTTAGGGATCATGAGCTGATCTTCAGAAGGGGCGAGGACATACGAATTGTATAGAGATGACTATTTTCATATCAGGTCAATCTTCTTTTTTTCACTGAATCCTGGTGAGTCCTTCCAATATTGAATATCTTCATATCCTTTACAACACTATATCATATACAAAATGAATTAATATAAAATATGTATGACAGCTTGACACAACAATGTTTTATACAAAATGTATTTGTTTGTTTAAACAATAAATTTGATTTGTTCAATTAATTCTTAATAAATCTTGGTAGGTCCTCCACTTATATAATCATACTGTTTCCTCTGAAACATATATATTCTCCCTTATTTCACTTATTTTTTCTCAGTCTGAAGACGAATATGAATACTTCATTTTCTGTGCCTTTCAGTCTTATGGGCCATCCTGCCTGACTGTATAGATTCTGTTCACACTGGATATATTGTTTACATTGTAAATACTCAGTTCACACTATAGACTCAGTTCACACTGTATGTATTGTTTGCATTGTATATATTGTCGTTTACACTGTATATGCTCTATTTGCATTAGATATGTAATAGTTCATGTTGTATACAGGCTATTGTATTCACACTTTGCGTATTGTTTGCATGTTCTGTTTAATTTCTATTTTACTATCCTCTTTGCTGCGGCAAATTTCAAATTAGTGGACTAATAAACGATCACCTTATCTCATCTCATCTGATCATCATGAATATGAATGTAAGTGCTTTGAATGTTGTTTTATTTTCTCTTCTCCCACACAACATCCGGTCCTGACTCGCAGCTCTCCACAGTCTTGGTGTAAACACTCTCTCCAAGTGGCTGTGCGTTTCTCAGCCTTTGCTCCGTCAACTTAACTTTACGCAAACTCCTTTAGTGCGCTGCGACCAAAGGCTGCGACGCAGCGTGCGTGTGTGACCTCCGCAGGTAGTTTCGTGGACTTTTCTGCGACATGGAGCCTCCGGACTTCGAAGCCATGAACTTCACGGTGGAGCAGGTGCCGTCGTTGTACCCGCTGTGTGAGGAGTGGAGGGACGGCGCGGAGGGCGCCGTCTTCCACCTGGCGCACATCTTCCTCTTCCTCGGCTTCATGGGCGGCAGCGGCTTCTACGGGCTCCTCTACCTCTTCTCCTTCCTCACGCTGGGCTTCTTCTGCTCCTCTCTCTGGGCTTGGTCGGACTCGTGCACCACCGACTCGTTCCTCTGGACCTTCGCGCTGTTCGCCGTCAGCCTGGCGCAGGTGGTGCACGTCGCCTACCGGCTGCGGGGCGTCTCCTTCGAGCGGGACTTCCAGGAGCTGTACCAGTGCATGTTTCAAAAGCTGGGGGTGTCGCTCACACAGTTCGGGAAGATCGTGGCCTGCTGTGACGGAGACATCCACACCTTAGAGCCCAGCCACTGCTTCGCCATCGAGGGGAAAACCGCCATCGACAAGCTGTCGGTGCTGCTGTCTGGCAGGTGACTGCACGTGTCTCACACCTCCATGAGTTTATATCAGACAGATTGATTAAATGTCTTTTGCCAGAGTCACTTAAACACTTAAAAGTCCAACAAAAAAACTGAAAACACTGATGTCATGAAGCCTTATTTGTAACACCCATCATGTAGGAAATGTTTGAGGTAATACTGCTGATATCTTTAAAGCCATGTATATTCCATAGACTGTATATAAAGAGGTATGTTCCCAATATGCACATTGTGCATATGATGCACTTTGATTCCTCTACTGAGCTGGACATGCAAAAGAATGAACAAGTGGCACATTGCAACATAATTATACCTCATAGCAGTGGTGGATCTAGGATTTGTATAGATCAGGGGCCACAAAGAGGGGGTAACTATATGTCCAACATCCATGCACAATTCTCTAAGGTGCACATGTAAGTCTTTCCTTGTTTACCGTTAGCTCTGTAGATTTGAGCTAAGCCACACATCATTGATAGATGTTGAACATGCTCCTTGTTTAATCATATTGTGTTCTTCAAATAAGCTTGGGAAAGTTACACAGTTATTTAAACATTGTCTTGTTTATTGTTGTACTGTTGGTACTTACAAGACTACAAGGACAGGGGCACTTCAGGATCCAAAATCTGATTTCAGGTACAGCCAGTGCCCCCTGGGTCTGCCCCTGCATAATAGTATAATTCAATTTTAATTATAAATACATATATATCATAGCTCATTAGATGTTGTACCTTTAGTGTGTCTGCTTTTGATATCATCACATTAAGAACATTGATAGGAGTGAAGATATGTCTTTCTATAATTTCTTACTCTCCCTTCATGTTTCTAATACCAGTCAGGAGCTGTGAAGTGGAGCCAAGGCTTCAGTGTCATCATGATCCGTGTTCAGGGCGTGTGGATGACTGCTGATGATTTGGATTTTGATGTGCAGCAATGCATGGGGTGCATGAATCTCACCTCATCAGAGTTGTTCAAATTTCCAACAGCTAACGTCTCGTGGGATAAGATGCAGAGAAAACAACTGGCATTTGACAGAAAGTGTTTGTTGGAGATGTAGAAGTGGAGATTTGTCAGGATTCAACACGGGACACAATGAAATGATGTACAAGGTGGAGTGTACTGTCTTTATATATACAATGTTCAGTATGCAGGGGAAATAAACTGTTTGTTCGGTGCTATGTTTTAAACAATAAATAAATTGAATAAAAATGACATTGATCACATATAAGTATGACAGTGTGTCAGGCTCATCGTGGGTAAAAAATATACTCTTGGATTTTCTCTGAGATCATAAATGAGTGAGATAAAACCGTTTTAACGATATCCATTTTGTTGTCAACTTGTAAACGGCTCACATCTGAGCTGGTTTTAAAAACAGCAGTGTTCTTCAAAAAGTGGTCAAACCCAAAGGAGGTTTGTGTTGCTGCAGACGTCTGAGGATGGAGGTGTTAAAGGTTATATCGAACTCAACTCCCAATCCATCAGATTTATGCTGTAAAAGAAAAAGGTCTTCTTGCCTGTTGCACGTTGAGCCACACTCTTATTCACAGCAGCTGTATTTCCAGTTGTAGCCGTGTTTCCCGCTGGAAATTTAACATCAACTCTCCCTCCATCCTCCTACAGAGTCCGTGTGACAGTAAATGGAGAGTTTCTGCACTACATCTACCCGTTTCAGTTCCTGGATTCTCCTGAGTGGGACTCTCTCAGACCAGCAGAGGAGGGGATCTTCCAGGTTCAGTTCAACTCATGATTTGCAAAAACACATTTCAGACAAAAACCCTGTGTCAGTAGCTTCTATAAGCCTTTAACCCCAATTTGTTAATTCCACAAATCTTCATGTCCTCAACGAACTGCATCTTCTTTCTTTGTGTCATAGACCTTTTGTAGCTCTGAAGCAGTTTGAGTGGCATGAAAAGCATTTGTGTAATGGCCAATATAATGGTTAGCTGATTTTATTAGTTTATATTGGACTGTCACAAATATCTGTGGATATGAAGTTTTATATGTGCTGATATAAAAACCTAAACTTAAGTTAGAAAAAGTTGGTTGGGGCAATTTAGAAATGGTAAATGTAATACAAAGAACAGCCTATCTTCACTAAACAAATGGACCAACTATATATATGTAGATATGGATATAAAGAATATCAGCCAATATATATCGATAGAGTAAACATGGAAAGGTTTAAATAATGTACATACTCAGCATTTTCTCTTTAATTTTATACATATCTATATCTTTTTTCTCGTGTCTACCTCATTCCGATGTGCCTGCTGATATAACAACTGAATTTTTCCCAGTGTGTGGATTAATAAAGTTTTATCTTATCTTAAATCAGCTCCACTTCACTGAGGCTCATTACTTCGTTGGTCAACAAGTGACTCTGATGTTTTCTAATCACTCACACTTAGAACTGATCTTTATAAAAACCTGCTGAATTCATATTATGTTCCTGGATAAACGGGGCGTCGCTTCTTCTGCAACAGTGACGATAAAACACTGTGTAAGGTCATATTATGCAGAAGTGTTCTGTCAGCAGGAGTGTGAGTGAGTGTGTTTGTCCCCGCTCATCTCTGTTAGTCTGTTATGTATTCTTTTTTATTCCATGATGTCGGATCATGACTCAGGATCGTTCCGGTCACTTTAAACCCTGATGTCCTGACTGTGCGAATCACCTCTCATCTCGTGTCTTATTATGGGATTTGATGGGAATAAGAAAAATATGGATGAAACACTTGCTTTATTCTTAAAATGCACTATTAGAGGGGACTCTTATTTAATTATTAGACCTATTTATGATTCTTCAATGTCAGATGTAAATATTAAACTTGGACAATGTGTTTCATAAAGAGGTAAACGTGTGTAAAAGAAAACCCTGTGAGACAAAAGTTTCCTTTTTTTTCTTGTTCATGGGTCAAGTTGACATCAGCATGTCACAGATTTCTTGATTCGGTCTTCTGCTCCGAGCACACATTGTTCCCCCCAAATCTGTCCACGTGAGAAGTGTTAAAGGCATTTCATGTACCCATAGAAATAACAGAGGGTGCAGGTTTAATATACAGTTGTTGAGTGATGGCAGCAGAATAATATAATAATAATATTATACAGTATATAATAATATAATCAGTAACATTAACTTTTGTATTTTTTGACGCCAGATGTTTCACACTTCAATTAGTATTTTAGCTTGTTACCCACTTATTCAACTAATAACAAATGTAGGAAACTGATTTTGACTAAAAGAATAAATCCAGGTACATCTGTAAGTGGATGAGGCGGTGCTCACAAACAGTGGGGGTGTTGCCTCTCGGCAAGCCTCCTGTTGTTTTGCCAATCAGAATAAGCCTTAAAGGGATAGTTCACCCAAAAATGAAGACTCACGCATTATCTACTCACCACTATGCCGATGGAGGGGAGGGTGATGTGAAAACACTACTGGAGTCTCAGAAGTAAACCTTGTAGCAGCTGAATCCAATAAAATACTTAAAATAAAGTAACTGGTTACCAAGACTTTAGGCGTATTAAACAGCATTTGATATTACCCATTTCAGTCGGACAACAGCATAACAGAATGCTTATGCGCAAATAAATTCCCAAAAATTATGTTATGTTTAAAACTGGATTTCATCAAATCATATTTGATACAGACATTTATATCAGTAATAGACCATGCATGTGACATAATTTACAAATGAAACTGTCAAATAATGATAATCAAATATTGGTGATTATTATTATTAGTAGAAATAGTTCTGGTCAGTTTAATCAATAATTTGACTCATGATTAACTTATGAATGTCAATTCATTTCCCTAGACTTTTCCTTTTTTTCAATTCCATTTGACTCCTTATAGGGACAGCATACAGTAGTTTATTATAACTTATTGTCTTTTCTTAGCGTGAACACCAGTTTACATCCTTACAGCCTTGGCTCTCTGTTGAATGTTTTTCTCCCATAGGTGACCCTGCGTGCTGATAACCCCTGCCGCTACGTGGCGTGGAGGAGGAAGAAACTCTACCTGCTTTTTGCTAAGCATCGCTACATCGCCAAGATCTTCGCCCTCGTTGTGCGCAATGACATTGCAGAAAAGCTGTTCTCCCTTAATGATAAGGCTTTCAGCTCGTCTGGCCGCCGCTACGATCTCCGCTTACCAAGTTACTGTCACATGCCAGGGACCGAATTAGAACAGGCAGATGTCCTGCAAGTTCCAGTGCAGGGTGGGAGGATGGCCTGAACACAAACACACACTTGCACACACATACATACTCTGCTCTAGGCCTTAAACACTTGGAAGTGACTCACTGTGGGTAGGAATGTAATGTAAATATAGTGTTATTTAAGAAGGCCAAAGTGTGACTGTACCATTTAGGGAAAGTAGGTCTCAAATGCAGTTGTAACATATCTGCCTATGTTTTCAGATCTCAATATGCAGTAGTAGGTACAGTAGGTGGAGCTAGCAGATGTTTCACCAGTCATGTTGTATCCAGATAATCCTATAGATTTATTTGGAAAGGGTCATATGACTGACACTCCATATAAATCCTTAAGATGCATAATAGCTGCCTTGTTAACCTTTTTAAAAATATACCTAGGTATACTTTGGCCCAGGTTGTCCTACGTTTATTGTGTTTTGAACTACGTTCAAGCTTCAAATCACCAAGATATGTGGGACTTTGTTTGAAAGTTCTCATTCACCTTTTGAAACTATTCGATTTTAGTCTTAAAATTAACAGAAAAACCAAATCAGCCAAAACTTCAAGGTTTACAGTTTGTTTCTTTTTTCATCCATATTGGTTTGTAATGCTACTAATGCTAATAACGGGTTTATCTCATAGACAAATGGTCAATGGTCTTTATTTAGATAGCGATTTTCTAGTCTAGATGACCACTCACACCAGACTTTATATAAAGATGGACGACTTGTCTCCATTTCCTCCAACTACTCAGAAATGATGCCACAATGTAAAATACAATATGAAGGCTGCCATCTCAGAGCATCATCGCCATGTTGTCTATCTTTATAAACAGCCTGTGGTTTAGCTGGAGAAGAAGCACAGAAGCCAGAAAGCCTTTCAGGAATTTGCACCCTGAGCGACTTAAAGAATGAGTGGAAGGAATAGTCCTCTTAATAGATTCATGGTTCAGATCCACCATGAGGTCCTGTCGTTTGTCATGAAATATCTAGAAATGTAAAGAGAGGAAAAAACTCATATAATGGCTAAAATGTGGAACTTTTCCTGTGGCTTGGTGAATAATTTGCTCCCTCATTATTGTAGCTGAACCGAACTACAATCTCAATCTCAGAGTTAAATCTGTTTCATTCAGTCATATGTTTACTGATAAGACCAGCTGCTTTTGACTGTGTACTAGACAAGCATGTGTTCTGGTAGTAAATATGCTGTGTAGTTAGTTGCTACTTTAGAGGTTTAGACCCACTTGGCTTGACAGGGCAAACATTTCACAATCTAACAGAACCGAGAAAGTAGAAATTGTTACTTCTTCACAGACGGACATTCTGCTTTTCTATTCTCACATCATAGTCAAGCAGCTGTTTAAAGAAATTAAATGTGGAAGAGTTTGTGAAAATTGAGTTTGTGTGTATGGAAATAGTTTTAAACAAATGACACTAAAGATTGTGCTGTTCAACTAAGGTGAAATTAACCTAAAGCTGAATTGATGTTATTTATTTTAGTTAGTCATTTATAATTACTTTATACGTATATAAAGTGAGATTAGAGGCTGTAGATGTCTTAACTGTATAAGATTCTGTGATGTGCAATATTGACAGATTGGATCAGTGACTATTGTTGTAAGATTGTTCAAATTAAGCTGTAAATAGGCTAATTGTGTGTATATTTTACTGTTAAAAATAAATTAACTAACTGGAAATTCATCAGATTTTTCTAGTTAACACAGACACACAGTGTAAATAATATAAAATAGAATGGCTACAATATGATGTAGTAAATTGAAATATACGGTAGTTTGCAGCATTATTAATTTTGTGTTTTCTTATCCTTTTACATCTCAGTCTATATCAGTATTTATCATCAGTGACTGTGAGATAATAACTCATAAAAATAATATCGGTGTGATTGTGCCACATTCGAACATGTAACAAAAACAATCCATTCATTTGTAAGAACAAGCTCCACATTGCTGAAGATCTGTCTCAACCTCATTATTCATTTAATTCCATGTTCAAGGTTTTAGAATGTGTCAGTTGGCATCCTCTAGCGCCTGCTATCGTTAGCAATCATTCTTTGAGAAAAACACATCTGAATGTAACTTCTCCAGTTTAGTTGCATGTTTCCTTCTGGAATGACCTTTTTCATCGCTGTGATTTCATCCACAAACAAACAAGTCACACTGCCTCGTCGTTTACTTCCCGAAAAAGAATCATCTTTTGTCTCTTTCGCTTGAAAATATAATTTATTCATTTTTTTGTTTTGTTTTGCTTATAAAGCAGAGAGACAATGGCCCCATTGGTTAATTGTCTCCACTGACACTGGGCTGGCCAAATCACTTCTCTTACAAGTCAAGCATGTTGACTTCCCAGTGGAGGAGTGAAATGCAGAGGAACTTGTTTCTACATTCTGTACCCGTATGTTTAAATGTCATTAAATAACTTAAAATGATACTTTGACTGCTAGCAGAGCTTCTTCTGTAACAGTTACTTGTATTTCTACTTGACGACGGAGATTGTGTGTTACTATACTGGTCCGCTATCACTGCTGCTCTTGTCCATGGCATTTACTACTCTGCTGTGTAGTTGTTTTGGGAAAGAGTACAGGAGGTGCTCAAATTTAAGTGGACTGCACGGTTGGTTTACCTCTGCGTCTCTGACTGATTCATCTGTGGGCTTACTATTTTATCTATTTAGTCTTATATTCTTTCTCTTAATTGTTGTCAGGAGAATTTCATGTGTTGCTGAACTACTTTTGTGTCTCTAAGAATTGTCTTGTGGGCCAGATTAATCTGTATATACAGCCAGGAGGCCTGGTGTTGTCTGCCCTTTCTTCTATTAAGAAACTGAATGCTTTTATGTGAGGTAGAATTGAAATTCTGAGACTAAAGTCAGAATTCTATAATTGTTTCTTTTCTTAAAAATAAATAACGTGGACCTAATCCAATTCTGAAATCACTGAATGCTCTAAGAAACATGTCACAATGTGTAACTTTTTAAATATTTACCAAATATCTGACAGTATTTAAAGAAGTATTATACTGTACCAGGTTTTATTGATTTATCATCTGTTAGTCACCTACTCAGACAACTTATCTACACAAGCTGGACTGAAAGAAAGGGGGCCGGGGTGATAGGTGTTATTCTGTGCTCTGTCTCCCCCTGTCGGAGCTGTGAGACACTGCAGGTGCACCGCTCTCGCCTTCTTGCCTATTTTAGTCTCCTCACTGAGGAATGTGCGACGCACACTGTGCAGCCCCGACGTGAGGGAGCAGCCGCAGCCACAGCACCGTCTCTGCCCCTTCTTCATCGGAACCAGCCCCTCATCCTCTGCCGTGCACAGCCCCGCTTCACCCACACCAGCCCGGGGAATCGGTGAGTGACGAGCCGCCATCTCCTCCCGGTACTTTTATTTTGAGAGAAAGTTGTAACTATACGAGTTAAATATCTACAGAGTACTCTGTAGGTCTATTTTTACACACACACACACACACACACACACACACACACACACACACACACACACACACACACACACACACACACACACACACACCTGTTACAGTGGGAGCCATCCAACTGTGAACATTATTTTGTGAGCACATGTTTTCTCAAGTTTATATTTCATGTGTAAGTTTATAGATGTATCCCAGGTTGTGTGTGTGTGTGTGTGTGTCAGGTTTATTTAGAAAGCTCAGTTAAAACAAGCAGAAGTGAGCAACGTGCTGTACAACTGAAAGAGATGTAGAAGAAAGAAGTACAGAAACAAAAAAGGTTAAGAAGTGAATAATGACAACATGAGGACAGTAAAATCTTCACTTCACCCTTCAACATGCCAATGGAAGGAAACTGTTTCAAAGATGAGGATGTGGGGATGGAAGAGGAGCAGAGGAGCTTAGATTTGTGATGGGGGTGTTAGGCCATGTAAAGCTTTAGAGATAGTTCACCCAAAAATGAAAATGCATTCATGCTCTACTCATCACCATGTCGATGGAGAGGTGGGTGAAGTGTTTGAGTCCAGGAAACACTTTTGGAGTTTCAGGGGTAAACAGCGTTGCAGCCAAATCCATTACAATTGAAGTAAATGGTGACCACTTCTTCAAACGTGAAACAATGTTTAATGTCAGGGCTCAGGGACATGACACCACAGGAACAGTACGTTTAAGTTTGAAGATAGGTCACCATTTACTTCAATTGTATTGGATGGTTGCAACACTGTTTAACTATCCCTTTAAAAAACAAATAAAAGACTCAGTTCAACATTTCACTGTGAGCAAATCTCAGGAGGTGAGATGATGTCTCTCTTCCGGCTAATAACAACAGAAAAAAACAAAAACAGATCATCTCAGCTAACATCATGAAATGGTCACTTAACAAATTGTTTGCACTCTTTTGAAAATATTAATATTCATGTACTTTTTACATGTGTGCATACAAACTTCAGATTGCTGTTATTTAAATTGCTTCTCGTAATGCAGCCCTGACATAAAAGTGCAAGAACAACAATGTGAACAAGAAAGCATATTTATGGTGCCCAGCTAGTACACAGACATGCACACACACAGCATTGTGTAGGCAGCCCATTAAAGCATCAATACACTTAAAGCACATTGATAATTGTATCACTGTGTTCTGCACCATCTTAATTGAAGCTGCATCTGGAACCCGATATAAAAGAAATCTACCCAGCAGCTATTCTAAATTCACACAAATTTTGAGTGCAAGATTTGAGGGTAACCACCTTGGAATAATTAGCAACATTCCTAAAATCGGGACAACAGGAGAACTTCCATAAATGCACCGAAGATTAGCAACTAGCAGCTTAATTCTGTGGACCAACATTCATGTACATTGATATCTTGTTAATGAGATTGCTATGTCAACAGGACTAACTCGAATAAAATAGGCTAAATAAAGATTTACAGTCTGTGAAGACCAACCCCAAATAACTGAACATGTTGCTCCAGGTCCTGAATGTGTGAATAGGAAACTGTTTGCTGACATGTTTACCATGAATTTGATGAATGTTCAGCTTGTCCCCAAAAAACAGTGAACGTTTAAAGTTTAACAAGCCAAGTAAAACCTGTGAGTGTTGCAGGATAAAGATGATGCTGTTTTCTTTCAGACATCTAATCAGCCCTGAACCATTCGTCCAATCACATCTGCTCTAACCTTGCTCCAGTTTCTAAGGTGACCCCTGCTGAAGGATGTCCTCTCCCTCAGATCAACCCCTCCCCTTCTTCACCACTCTGCCCCCCTTCCCCTCGGCCACGCCAGGATTCGCCGCTGTGCCCAATGCTACCTCCTGCCAGGAGTGGGAGCAGGCCCACCACCTCCTCTTCCATCTGGGGAACCTGTCACTGCTGATGGGCCTGGTGATCCCGACCACCCTGGGCCTGCACATGATCCTGCTGCGCCTCCTGCTGATGACAGGTCAGCCCACAGCGCCCCCTGCCGAATGGCATTTCTGTGGTCACCACAGGGAAAACACCATCAAAAGCCACAGCAGATGTTTTTACTGTCAAAGCATCAGCCATTAATCACCACAAGCTCTTTGAGGAGTCAGCTGAGCTCAGTTCACATTGAGAAGATCTGTATTTTTTTTTTTTAAGAGCTTTTCTGTTCCGATCTGAGAGGGATCTCTACGGTACTGGGCCCTGTCCGACGCCCTAAAAGGCTCTGATAGGGGCAGATAGCGGAAGGAGAGATGGAAAAAAACACTTCAAACATGTTTATCTTCTCCTTGGAAGGAGAGTGGAGACAGGAAGCAGCAGGATTTATGGGAAACATGGTCATTTTGACAGTTCATTTATTTATATTAGCCTTTTCTGTCTCAGAGGGTTTTACAGAGGAAAAGAAACAGACACAGTCGAGAGGAAGAGTAATCTTACACAGCTGAAGGAGTTAAAGGTAGCTTGAAAACATTGTGGGTAAAATACCAATTTAAAAGTTTTAAACAAAAAGATGAATAAATAAGTGCTGGGGAATTTTCCCTAAAACCTTTCATTCAAGTTGTATTAGTGTAGAGAAATATTAATTCACATTCATGAGGATTACACTTTAGAACTAGACATCCAATTAAATTTCCTGAACACTAAGTTCAGTTATGAATTCTAATGTGTAGCTGATCCATACTGATAGTGTAAATGACTCAAATCTAACAAGTAATCATTGATTGTTTCATCAGTTATAGGCTATTAATGATGTTAGTGGTAAATCTGCTTCCACTGGTTTGAGCACAATCACAAACTTTGTAATTTATTTCTTTTGCCTGTGGGGTCTCAAGATAATTTTGAATTTATGTTCCTCGATGTGCTGCTTTTATTATATTGGCTACACTCGACTATTAATATGTGCACTTAATTGTGAAAAACACAGACACTGATTAATCATCAATCATGAACACGTTGTTATCTCAGGTCTCAATTATTATTATTAAAAAAATATTTCTCTTTCTATTGCTTTTAAGAGACAAAGTCATTCTTATCTAAAAATAAATTAATGTTTGTTTGTTTAACTTGGAAAGTTGCAAATAAGCAGTGCCTCCAGCAAAGATTTTATTTTAGATTACATTAACATTATTATTATTATTTGTATTATTACTACTATGAATGTCAGGTTTCTATGCTAAATTGGATTGTTTTCTTTTTGTTATCCATATTTTAGTTTTTCATATTGTCTGTATAAATCTGCAATAAAGCAGACTGAGATAAATTAACTTTTGTTTGGTTTTAGATTTTGAATCTTTGAATTTTAGATATTCTTTTTGTTGTGTGTCTTTAACCGTGACAGGATGTGGGCTCTTCATTGCCTGGGCGACTCTGTATAGATGCAACCTGGATGTGATGGTTTGGAACGTGGTTTTTCTGGTGGTCAACTTCATGCATCTCTTCTACCTCCTGTACAAGCGAAGGCCAGTGAGTTCTACAGCAACACACTCTCCTTCACATTTCAACAGTCCCTTCACATTCAGGCCAGTCAGGTGGGGTTTTTTTCTTCCACCGAATTGAAATAGTGAAGCAGACATTGGGGAAACAGTGTGTTTATTTATGCAGAGGCTCCGAGTTGAGATTTTCTTGGCTGTCTCTGGCAGGAAGCAGCTCATCCTCCTGGGCTCACTCCTGCTTTATGGTAATAAGATGCAGGTTTGATCAAGTCCATGGGAGACTCCAGGGGATATAATATAAGTAAGGGGCCTCCAGCAAGCTGATAGAATCAGACCAGGACTTTTCATAATGACACAGTAGACCTGTCGTTCTCGGTCAGTAGCTCCTCTACTAACTCACTGACTGTAATTTCACATTAGCATCACTGCAGATAGCTTTAATGTCATTATATAATGAGTTACGTTTGTGTCTGCGCTCTTGTCAGATAAAGATCGACAGGGAGCTGCGGTCAGTCTACAAGCGCATGTTTGAGCCGCTCCATGTGAAGGAGGCTCTGTTTCAGAGGCTCACAGGACAGTTCTGCACCATCCAGACACTAAAGAAAGGCCAGGCCTACGCTGCCGAGGACAAGACGTCCGTGGATGAACGCCTCAGCATTCTCCTCAAAGGAAAGTATGTGCTGTTTGTTTGGCTGTAGGTGCAACTGTTGTTTATATGATGCTTCATGTGAGTCTGACTAATACTGCACTGTCTGTATGCAACACAAACCTAGCCTGGATTCTAAGTTGAAGTTTTTACTGGAATGGAGGTTCACATTGAAATTCTTTGTTGTTATTCATAATTCTTTATATTAATATTATGATTTAGTGCTGACATTTTAGAAGATAAAGAAATTAACATTAAAATGGTGTCAATGAAAAATGCTAAAGATAGAGTTGATCCAGCTTCTTCATTGTGTGGAGTTATTTACTTGCTTTTGTCAGTTTCATCATAAACTGAAATTCTATAGTTATACAGCTTTTTGTTTTCTGCTTCACAAGCTTCCTGAACACAAATCAAATAAAGATATACTCTCTGACTTTGTTATTGTTCAGGCCCTGATGATTTCTAAACCATCAGCAGTAACAAGGAGTCAAAAAGAAAGGGAACATTAAGACTGAGACTTTAAATTAACCATTCTATTATTTTCATTAATTTGGAAATATTGAATATAAGCACAAAGGCAAAGGCCCCTCACTAATTTAATTATTTTAAACCAATTTTGACATATATTATTTATATTTAATGATTTATAATATTTTACTTATAATATTTTGGCACATTACATAACTCTCAGTTTAATGTGGAACTGCAAAGAAACCCCCCTTTTTAAAATCACTTCAGAAGAGGTCACACTTATGTAAGATTGTAAGATCATAGTTTTGACTTGCCTGTTTCTCTGTGACAGGATGAAGGTGTCCTACAGAGGCCATTTCCTCCACAACATCTACACCAATGCATTCATTGATTCTCCAGAGTTCAGGTCCACTCAGATGCACAAAGGAGATAAGTTCCAGGTAATATGAAAACAGAAAAACAAATGAACAAACTCTATTTGTACTATGGTTGGTAAATTTCTTAAAAACTATTAAAAGAGCACAAAGATTTGACTGCCCTACCATCCACACTGAGCCTTAATGACTCTGAGGTGAAATGAATGAAGTGTCAGAGCTTTAAATAACATCCTGCTGCTCCTTCTGATTCAGTGATAGAGCATATAATCCTAACATCTGGAAAAACAATGGATGGTTGTGATTGATAAATTGGTTGATCGATTGATTGGCAGGTGACCATTATGGCAGAGGAGAACTGTAAATTCTTGTGCTGGTCTCGAGAGAGGCTCACCTACTTCCTGGAGTCAGACACTTTCCTCAGTGAGGTGTTCCGCTACCTCATCGGCAAAGACATCACCAATAAACTGTACTCTCTGAATGACCCCACCCTCAGTGACAAGGTTGGTCAAGCTCTTCTTTCAGATTCTACCTTTATTACACACTGTATATTAGCTACAACTATTCTTATTGTGATGATGATGATGATGATGGTGTTGGATGTGACCCAGGCGGTGAAGAAGATGGACCGTCAGCCCAGCCTGTGCTCGCAGCTGTCTATGACGCAGATGAGGAACAGCATGGCGAGCGCCAACGACACCGATGATGTTCTGAACCAGATCCTACGAGGAGGATCTGCTGGATCGTCCATCCGTAAGTCACACGATCACCCAGCTGACTTGTTACTGTATGTGTAGAATCTCAAAGTGGTTCAGTGCTTCTACATTTTTGAAACAGATTTTTAACACTTGACAGCACCTATCTAAAACATCCACTTCTCCCTCTACCAGTATTTGTTGAACTCCAGTAACATCACTCAGTCACATTCTGCTAAACAGAGTGAAAGCATCACGTGTATTAAGAGGAGACACTCAAGCAAACCAAATGTTTGGATGTTTTTCTGCTCTGCACACAGGCTAAAAGCACCCGCAGTAGAGTGTTGCTCTTAAAATTACTCTGAGCCCAGAAGAGCTGCAGCATTTCTGTTCTGCATAAAGGTTCTTAGTGTTTTAATGGATCAGCTACAAGTGGTGATGGAGACACATTCACAGGCCATTTTCTGCTTTCATGATATCTGCTTGTACACTCATCTTCTGCTGAGGTCTGTTAGTGTATGGAACTCCTTCTCAAGTGTGAATCATTTATTGTCTTTTGTGACATTGGACCACTTCAATTGGCTGGTGAGCCAAGATCATGCATTTTTTTCTATCTTTAAGTGTAAATGTTTTTTCTAGAAAAATCTCCTGGTACCAAGGCCTCCAAGATGAACCCCATAGAAGAAGGCATGGAGGATGACGTTTTCAAAGAATCTGCTCCTTCTGAGTCTCACCGTATGCCCAGCACTTCCACTGAGGAAGTGTAGCCCGCAGGGGACGAATGGACACCATCACATTTATTACGTATTTATCAACCTAACACCCAGAGCCTGATTGAACACCAACACGGCTAAAGAAATGACAAAAAGACGTGTGCGGTCATGTAGAAATAGTTTCTTCATTTTGTAGTTTGTCCACCATAGAGTACTGACAAGTTTATTTTTATGATGGAAAATGTCTGCACAAATCTTGATCACAATTCTTTAAAAATCAAATTTTTGAAAAGTAAATGTTTTTATGTAAACAAACAATGTTAGTATAACTAGTATTATCAGATATTTAAAAAAGCTGCATCAATTTATTCATTTGGCTCAATGATTGTGAAGATGGAGGACATGACATCTTGAAAATAGTAAAGCCGAAACAGCTGGATGGCCCCCTGGTGGCTGGCTGCAGTATAGGCCATTAATCCCACATCCTCCATGTTAGAAGATGCCAAACTAAAAAATCAAAGTACACATGAAATGATGATTTTCCAGAAGATGGTTTCTCATACCTTCTTTTTTAATTAGTTATTAGATGCTATAAAAAGTGGGTGTGACCTCATGATTGAGAGCTTATTGGTCGTGGCTCTACTCCTTGATCACAGAGCACGGACTCTGGCTCCAGACTACATCACCAGTGCAAGATGGCAGCATCTGTGTTCTAGATATAATGGCTTCATTTTTGTTCAGTGGGAGGAAGTGGAGACGTGTCTTCCATCTCTATGTACAGTCATTGATTTGATCACAGCCAAGGAAATGGCTGTAAAACAGATCTGACATATCTTACAGAGTTCTTATGGTGAAGAGCTGATCCATCAGACACATGTTTTGATCTTCATGAAGTCAGTCAAGTTATCATTCTCCTTTTAGCTTTGGTTCAGTCTTCACCGACACCTGAGAACCCTGTCAGACTTTTAGTTGCCAAATGCTCCACATTATTAACAAGCTAGTTGCCACCTCTGTGTGTCTGCTGGTTGATACTGAGAGAGGAAAACCTGGTGCAGATCACGCAGGGGTCCACGTGATCAGTTTGAGTGTTAATGCTTGCTTGTACAATATACAAAGACTCCATAATGTTTAATTAAGACTTAAAGACCCGGAACCTACCGCTCTCTGAGCACAAATATCGGAATATTTGTAATATTATTTTCAGATGGACCACCAGAACACTGATAGGGAGGAGTGGATTTAGTGAATGAGACCATAATCATATTATTCTATGGGAGAAGTTGCCCCTGTTGGCTCTCCTTGGTATTGTACTTTTAAGCTCTTCTGCATCAGCTTAATTTTTCATGGCTGGACGCTGCATCCACTTTTTATATACAATCAATGATTTCTCCTCTATATTCATAGCAGCTTCAACTTCTTTCCACCACAACACAGCATGGTTTTGGAAGAGCCCCCCCCCCCATTGCAGCCATTCACCACTGCATAAATTCTTATCACGATTCATTATGAATGAGAAGGGCTGCAGTTTTCATGCAGGTGGGCATGCAACAGAAAACTCAAACAGGGAGCTAAAGTTGCTAAAAATCTCACAAGAGATATTCTTTATGCCGGCAGCGGAGGTGGTCACAGAACCACTATCTATCCACCTCATAGATGTCTGTGTAAAAGGTGGCATGGCAGCACTTATGATGTTGTGTTCCACATTACGCCATTGACTCTGGAACGCCATCTTGCTTCTGAAATGGCACACTCCATATTGGGATAATTTGTTGGATATTATAATGAGTGACTCCTTTCAAATGACTTTCTTTTGATTTATTGATTATATAAAATGTATAGTCCCACATTTCAATTAGTATCACATGTCTGAATCAGTTGGGTTCTAATAATGACATCTTAGTATTTTTAAGTGATATATAAGTTGTAAAGTGACAGTACGCTAGAGCTCTGTGATCCTCAAAACAGAACAAGAGCAATTCCTTCTGGAGAACCTTCTGGAGAACATCTCCTCTCTCTGTGGGATAGGTACATTGATGGAAATACATTTTGTATGTAATTTTAGTTTTATAAACACAAGCATAAATCTCAACATTCATAAGAGAGCTTTTGATAGTGAGGATTTTCTTGAGAAATGATTTTATCTGTGTGTTGTATATTCTTGTTTAAATGTTTGTACAAGAAACCAGTGCACTGTGTGTGTTCAATAAACATTTGGTGTGAAACTGAGTTGTGAAAAGGTATTCCAGTATCTTCTGGGGTATATTGCCCCCCTGTGGTCACAATATGTGCTTGTCTCATCATAGTAAAGTCAGTGAAATTGTATAAACCGATGATTCAAACATCCATTGTCAGGACAACTATCTTAAATCTCTTTTTCAGTTTGGAAGAATTGGAATTGATACAAAACTGAAACTTAAAATTAACAAATTCATTCATTTATTTTCTGATGAGTAAAACAATATAACCACAACATGTCTGTTGTTTGGAATGTTAGATGATAGAGGTGGAACACTCATACAGACAGAGTAGTGTGCACCACTTTTAGAAATTAGGATACTACACAAAACATATTGGAGTTCAATTCTTGAATTGTCCTTGTGCACTTTGCATCATATCCACACAGGAACATATTCCAAAATAGCACCTTTAGGAAACATGTCTTCATGACATCTCTACCCAAAAGAAAGGCTGAGGATGCAAATGACAAACCTGTGACGTGCAAAACCAAACTATTAGCAAATGTATTTGTGTTCTTTACATGGTACTACTTTAACATTGAGATTATTGCACACAAGTAAACATTATATTATATTATATCATATCATATTTTATTATATGTCTGACTTTTGTTTTTTGTTGTATTGAACAGTGTTTTTTTCTTTTAAATCAATCGAGATGTGATCTGATCTCAATGGGCAACAAAACCACTGCTTTTACCTTTTAAGGCGATGACATATGAAACTACGTCTCCCACACTGCATATCGTCTTTACGTCATCACAACAGGAAGTAGCAGGCTTGGCCAGTTGCTGTAAGTGAACGAGCGGAGAGCAGGGCGGCAATACGACAAAAATGGGAGTCGAGTGAAACACCGTCCGTCGGAGACACGGTTCCTCTTCTGCCAGCGCCCATGGGCGACACCCAGGAGCGACACCGACACGCCAGGACCCACTCAACCCGACGGTGAGGCTCTGTCCCTAAGATTCTTCCCGGTGGACCGTTCACCTATGATGGAACGGGCGATGGAGCAGCTCAACGTTCAGCTCAGCCGGCTGACCCGGTCCCTCCGCCGGGCCAGGACCGTGGAACTCCCGGAAGGTAACGACACCGAGTGTGGAAAGGCAGAGGCGCTCTTCATGTTCCCCTTCATAGTGATGTCACAGTCACAGTGAGGCTTCATAGTAATATCACAGTGAGGCTTCTTAGTGATGTCACAGATATGTCTCAGTCATAGTGATGTCACAGTGATGCTTCTTAGTGATGTCACAGATATGTCTCAGTCATAGTGATGTCACAGTCACAGTGAGGCTTCATAGTGATGTTGAAGTGAGGCTTCTTAGTGATGTCACAGTGAGG